TTACAACAGAAAAGTCTAGAAAATGTGTGAAATGTTTTCAATTTCTCCTCTGGGTGTTGCAAGAAGGAGTGATCTACTAAATTATTAAAACAAAAAAGTATCCTTTTCTCATATTTCTAGACTTATTTATTTTTTCTCCTGTTTAGTAAAAAAGTTCAGGACCAAGAAGCCACTAGACCAGGCATTCTGTGCTAACAAGACATGCAAACTTTGACTGATCTACTGAGAAAATTTTTAAAAATTAGATAATCTAGAGAGCTACCAAGATACCAAGAGATGGGAAAGCATAAAATCTGTGCGGAGTTTTAAGTACAGAAGTGATTATCTGAAGCAGAGGTCAACAAACTGCAGCCCATAAACCAAATCCATTCTACCACCTGTTTTTGTGAGGTCCAAAGGGCTGAGAATAAGTTTTACACTTTTAAATGGTAAAAAAGAAAAAATAATATTAAATGGTATGTGAAAATTAAGTGAAATTCCAATTTCAGTGTCCGTAAAGTTTTGTTGGAACCCAGATATTCCCATTAGTTCAAGTATTGTCTATGGCTGCTTTCATCCTACAAAGGCACAGTTGAGTAATTGACACAGAGACCATATGATCTGCAAAGCCTAAAATATTTACTACATGGCACTTTACAAAAAAAGTTTACCAACACCTAATCTAAAGTCTGTGACATTTAAGAAAACCAGAGAGAGAAACATGAGAGGAGCTTTGTGAAAAGATCTCTAGGACTCGCAAACTCAGGATCAGTCAACTCCTTGGCCAAAGACACTCAATGAAGGCTCTGTTGAAGCTGCAAGCAGATCCTCTTTGCAGAGTTAATTTGCCACTGGGAAATGTTACTCGAAAAATCAGGGAGTGAAGGGGACATTGATATGCACCAAACACTCTCTGTAAGACTCCAAACAAGAGGTAACATTTAATTCCACATGAATTGAGGTGGGAAAGAATGGATTTAAAGGACAGAAAGAGTTCAATGAGGGTTCACTTGCATTTCTTCCCTAACAAAAACCTGGGGTGAGAGAAAGAATCAAAGCCATACTTATATAAAATTTGCCAAAGAAATTAAATTGGGACCTATTGTAAACATCAGTGAGGATGGTGTAATTCTTTGAGTTCAGAATGTAAACTACAGTTTCAATTTTATGATGTGTACTGAACAGCGCTCCATGTGTACAAAACAAATGGACATATAATCTCCAATGTTTTACTAGAAAATGTCTGAAAAATAGTAAATTCTTGAGCACATAATGCACATGATGGATTAATTAACCCTCTTTGAAACATAATGAGGTAGAGATGGGGATTCATATCCTGATTCTCCAGATGACAAAATAGAAAAGAAAGGGAGTTACTGAGCAATGATCACAAGACAAAAATCTCAGAGTCCTGAGTTTTAACCCAGTCCATCCATAGTGCACTCTGTCAGCTGGCTCCATCCCCATCTGAAGATTGCTTTTTTAATGGATTAGGATCTGGGGTTTGTCATCTTCTAGGAAAGCAAAACAAAAAATGCAAGCAGGTATAAATTCATGTGAGTTTGCTGAAATGATAATGATTATGTTTTTAATTTGTAGAACTGTCACAAAAAGTCTGAGCTGGAAGCACATTTTCAAATCCCTTGTTTTACAAACAAGGAAAACTGAGATCCAAAAGGGGAAATTTCTTATCTAAGGCTATACGACTAAAACCTCTTTGAGCCCTTACATCTGTGTGTGGGTATTGTCCTGCTTTGACTTCCTGGTCTCTTAGATAGCATCCAACATGCCTTCCCTTTCACCACCCCACTCACCCTACCCACTCCACAAACCAACTGTTTCTCTCCATGCCTATTTCTAACCCAGAGTTCATCCCATCAAGCACCCCCTGCCAACACATACAAACTTTGACCAAGTTTCTCTTAACCAGCATTTGGTCATTTTACTCTCATGGCTTAGTAACGTTGTTTTTTTCTCGGCAGACCCTTCCCTTCCCAGCCTCACCCTCACCCCAATTCTCCAACATAACTGACATTGAGAAAATGCAGGACTCCCTCTTCACCCTCTTCCTCAACAAGAAAACCTGGCCAGATTATAACTGACTCTGTGCTGAGCCCTGTGCCAATGACAGCATAAACGTCCCGTATGTTATAAACCAGCAAAGCTAGAAATATATTTGTGTCTGATATACCAGGCTTTTAAGTCCTGTACCTGTGCCCATTCCAGAGATTTCTGAAACTATGAATTAAGTGATAATCAAGACTCTGAATACTCAGTCTGAGTTAACTGACTATAACAAGCAAGTGAGGAAGAGAAAGATTTGTGTTTCTACTCTCTCTAAGACAGGTATAAGTCAATGTTTCAACAAGCCAGATTGAGAATCACCTCCAGAAAGGACATAGGGGCGATAAAGATGCATTGTAAAAATGGAAAAAGAAACCCAAATCAATAAACGTCCTCCTTGGGTAATAAGACAGCCCCCTGCCTTGAAACAGGAATAATGATGGCAGTAAAATCAATCCACCAGCTTTATAGATGGGAGGAAAAAGAAAACACCAGTAATTTTTTCTGCTTTATTTTGGGTGTGTGTGTGTGTGTGTGTGTGTGTGTGTGTGTGTGTGTGTGTGTGTTTTCTCTAAACCACTTTCTCCTACCTTCAAAGGGCTCAGTAGTAAAATCTATGGTCCATATTTCAAAATAACCAAGGGGCTCAGAAGGTTCCCCCTACATGGTTTTGTAAGGAATCCATTGCTGATTTTTTGTATTTCAAGCAGGCAAGAGCATTTTGGCCCCATGAACTCACAGAGTTTCCCTAACTTAAAAGACTCTAGGGTGTAGAGCATTTTGAAACCTTGCTGGATTTCTGTGTGTTCTGTGAGTTGGGTGATTCGCTCCCCACAACCTCATCCCTTTTCTTCCTTGTTCTCAAATGGCACAGGATCCACCTCATTGCAGAGCTCCTCCCAGGCGGCCCTGCCAGCTGTCCTTCTGCCTGCCTCCCTCCTTCAGCTCTAACTTCTGCAGAAAGCTCCCATGTGGGATTTATGATATGACAGCAAAATCTTCCTTTTCATGATGTGGTTGATGATTTCCCGTTTTCTGAAAATAACAATTTGGTGATCCAGATTTGTAAAACCCAGAGGCAGCATCAAGTATAATCTAATCTATCTGACTATTGAATTTGCTTGTTTGTTCACTTGAACATCTTTCTGATCTGATATGGCTACTATTACTGTGGTGCCTGGGCTTGCTAATACAGTAGCTCTAGATGAGTGCTCTGTTTCATTCTTGCTCTATAGACAGGGCCCGCTGGGTGACAGAGTATGGGGAAGTGCCAGGGTCTCACTGGGGAAGTTGGCGTAGTCTGAAGTCTCTGGAGCCCTTCCTCACTTCCTTTTCTGATAGCCATCTTTTCATGAGTACTCTGAAGAAAGGAAGGCATTGCTCTCAGGCTCTTTAGGTAGTGCTCTAAGTCTCACTGCCTAGACCGAGACACTGGAGCCCTGGGCTTCATACTAGCCCAGTATAAGCAGGAGCAATGGGTCATTTGGGGGTATGAGCTGAACATGGGGCATGTTTTCAGTAATACCAAATGGTAGCGGCCTTCTTGTGGCTTTGAGGACTGGAAGAAAACAACATGGTAGCTTCTGTTTTATAGATATTTCTGCCACCCCACCAAAATGATAAAACAACACTCACCATTGTGATTGGCTATCATTCAGGAGGTCAGTTAAGGGAAATTCTCTGTCTACTTTTCTCTAAATGCTTCAAACTCTGGTGCTTCTTCCATCCTCTGATGAGTGTCAGTACATTCCTGGTGAATGGTGTGGCCTACATACCTATCTTTTAAGACTGTTCTAAAGGTTGATAGCTCTTATAAAAGGAAAGGTTCTCTGTTCTGGTTCTGATGTGGAACTCAACACTTCCAGGCCAGTGAGAGGAAAGAGAAAGGCCTTGGCAGGAAGTACCTTCTTTGGGGAAAGTTGGGGCACAGGTGAATACCGGTGTTTAACAACTGGGTCTGGTCCCAGAGCATAGTATCTCTGTCTAGGCGACACCCAGCGGGCCTTGTCTAGAGAGCAGAGAATGAAACAGAGCACTCATTCAGACCTAGTGTGTTAGCAAGCTGCTCATCAATATCCCTTTGAGAAGAAAGCCTTCAGTACAGAGTGGGGAGTGAAGTGGATAACAGGGGGCTTAAGTCCTGGGTGGTTAGGGGAAGGAGACATTAACATATATAAGAGGCCTGAAAATGGGAGTTTCTACTGCAGAATGTAGGCTGAGTACCTCTAAGGGTTGAGTGGACATGAGTTGTTCAAAGCTAAATAAGACTAGGGTGCCAGGGCTTGAGCCAATTTAGCCAGACATACGATGCTACCTTAGCTTAAGATTAGGAACTGATGGACAGGCTTTGATGTCATGTCTCTGGAGAGGAGAATAAATGTGTTTCTTCACTTTGAGTTCTTACCTACCTAGAACTATTAACGCAAAGACAGGTCCCAAAGAGGCAGCAACAGGAGGGAGCAGGTGCAGAGACTGATAGTCTGCTGAAAAGTGAGAACACTCCCTTTCTGGGGCTGAGACCAGGCAGCCTTTACTAAGAAACAGTCTCATATTCATCACAAGGAATAGGCTGGGGACTCAGTTGGGGTTTCTCCACTTCTAACCGCTCTAATAAGGACAAATTTTTCCTTTACTAGCCAGCAGAGTAGAAAACAAGAAGGAAGGAAATTAAATCTTTTCAAATCATTAATTTTTCTTTCATTTCTAGGATCCAGTGAGCCCCAAGCCCCAGCTGGGACCACCTTCACTGCCTACATTGCCTGTACAAACAAGGCTGCTGAAACCAGGGAACTAACAAGTACAAAAATTTGCTTTCTTAGGCTCGTAAGTTATTCAATAGGTCCTTGCCAATGACCCTATTTCTGAGATGATAAAATCTTGGGCCCTGAAAGGTTAGTGTCTCTCTCTGGAAGTTAAAGAAGAAAGGAAAACAGAAGTACATGTGCAAGACCCTTTACCTTCAGCGGCTCTTTTGAAGAAGACCTTGCAGCTTCCACATGTGAGAGCTCCATAGTGACACCCAGAAGCTTCATCTCCACAGATCAGGCAGGTCTTCTGGGGTGGAAAGTAATAGTCAATGGGCAAAACATGGTCCCTGGCAGTCTCCAAACTGAAAGACACAAAAAACCAATGCAACGCATGTTAGTGGATGGCAGAAATAGGCAAGTGAAGTCTGAAGTCTTCAGGATTGACTTGCATGTGTAAATTACTATTATTCATTGTTCAAGTGAGTTAGTGTGAAACTGAATTTTTTTGAGGCTTCTCCTAAAGATGATGTTGGTAGGGTGTGAGAGAACCTTTTTGGATCTTGTCAAGGTATTACGGAAGTTCTCTGGGATTACCCAATCTCATAGGCTATGTCTATATGAGAGAGCGAGGAAGGCAGGAAACCTGAGGTTAAGTTATCTAACTTAAGTTGGTGTTCAGGCAACATTTTCAGAGTGATTAAATGATATGAACCCAGGTTTGTGACTTTACCTCAGCCAAAAGGAGACCTAGAACAAAACCAGACCAAATATCAAATCAATTTGATGTTCCTTGCTTTAGCTCCTTGAGCCTCAAATCTCATCTATAAAATAGGGATAATATCTCCCATCCTATTGAGCTGCTGCAATATAAACCCGATGATGGATAAAATGCTCTTAGAATAAATACACAAGGATCCTGATTAGCATTATCACACAAGTCTTATTCTTTTTTTCCCCATTCTTTCACTTTCCTTAGGTGTTTCTCTAGATAACATGAACATCTGCCTGATCCCATTCCACAACATAAAGTAGCAAGCATAATCCCTATGCTTGAGGCTTCTGTTGAAAAATGATGTACAGTGATTCTGGACAGCTTTTAGGCTACCATTGATATACTTGACCATTAAAGGAATCATGAGTTCTTTGGGCAAGGATAGAGCTTCAGAAGTCACCTTGTCTAACTGCCTTTCTCCAATAACGTCCGTGCCTGAGCTCTTCCAGACGGATATGAGGGAAAGAGACCAGAAAACCAACACTAAAACCTTCATGGAAGGTTAATTCTCACTCTCCTATAGTAAGAAATTCAAGTTTGAACAAAATGGAACATGGTTCTCACTACCCAAAGATCAACTTTTGTCTTTTCTATGTCTTATGCCTAAACATTAAACAAAACTCACAGTAGAGTTGCCTCAGATAGATGACAACTGCCCATGTTATCATTCACAGGAGCACAACTGCTATATTTTATTTTAAGTACTTCTTCCTTACTAAGGAATGAAGGAAAATTAGCCCTAATGGGAGCCTGTTTGCTGTGTCGGGTGATTTCAACACCTAACAATAACTCTGTAAAGACAAGCTTATTTTCTCATTTTTATATCTATTGTACAGATGAAAAAAGACTCGGAGACTAGAAGTGCAGGACAATTTGACTCCAAGTCCAACAACTTCCATTAACATATTGTCTCCTCACCACTCACCTTTATTTCCACCAATGGCCTTTTGATTCGAATGCTCAGCACAGTCATCAGAATTTTTTAAAAATCATGAAAGGTTATCCTCCCCTCAACCCCAAGTGAACAGTTCTGGCAGGACAAGAGCAAAGAAAACTTTCACTCACTTTCCAAGCACTTCAACTGCAAGACACAAATATCAGCCTTTATTCAAGTCCCAAGAACAATAGAAAGCATTCAAAAAGTTCTGCTGATATGCAAACCCAGTGGCTGGATATCATGGCCTATCTTCACTCCCCACAAGCCTTCCTTTCCTTACCCTAACTAGAAAGCCAGCAAGAGTACTTCCACCAAACCAAGGCTAGCAGGACCATAAGTTCCACAGAGAAGGTGTTTACTTCCCATATACAATTGAGCTAAATACTAAGATCATAATTCCTATGTCTAAAAATGCCGTTTCCTTGGGTAAAAACTGTGCCCCTTTTCACAGTCCTGAATGAAACATAGAGAAGAAATAGAAAATTTTCACAAGTATCTTCCTCCTTTCTCCACCTTTTTGACTTCTGTTACTAACACATACAGTCCAAATAAAATCAGAAGAACATGTATTTAGGCACTCTATGTGCCATGCCATTTCATACATATCATCTCATTTAATTTTCCCAACGACCCTGCTAGGTAGCTCTGTATCATCCCTATATTACAGAAGAAGAAGCTGATGCTCATAACAATTAAGTAAACTTGTTCAAGATCTTGCATCTATTAATAATAAGTGGCAATGCCAGGATTTCATCCTGGGTAAGTCTGACTCCAAAGTGTAGATTGTTAGCCACTGACAAACCATGTTGTGCGACTGAAGGTTAGGATTAGGTAAGTTGGTTCAACTCAACTTTTAGCACCTAGCCCTATGGACCAGGCACAGGGGTAGATGCTGGGGACATAGTGGTGATTGAGATATTGTTCTTGGCCCTAAGAAACTACTATCTGGTAGAGAAGAAAGACAGGAAGTAGCTAATTATAAAGTAAAATAGTAAATGATAAAAGAAAGCATAATGCAGACTGCTACACATAAGGATACACTTCAAAGATAGGATTATTTTTTGAAAGACACAATGTATGTACGGGTACACATATGTATGTATGGGTAAAGGACATGCTGCTGATGCTGATGATGATAATGATGGTTATTATTAGATGATTACAAAATAAATATCAGATAAACAAAATGGAAACATGCAGAAAGTAAATATGAGCTCATTTTGTAAAGGACCTTTAAGAAATACAAAGGGAGAGTTGCTCTTCAATGGGTATAAAGTTTCTGTTAAGTATGAAGAAAAAGTTCTAGAGATTTGCTGTACAACATTGTGCCTACAGTTAACAATCTGGTGTTGTGCCCTTAAATTTTGTTATGAAGGTAGACCTCATGTTGTGTTATTATTAAAAAATGTTTTTTAAAGAAATAGAAATTTTCAACCATACTAAAATTGAAACTACAGTTAGAATTGTTTCAAAGAATCTAATCAAATTTAAAAACAATGAAAGACAAAATATTCATTAGAATTTTGTTTATTAGATATGAGTTTAATAAAGTGCACCTTGAACAAAAATAACTGTAAAGGAGGAAGAGGAGGATAAATAGTTAAAGGGATTCAGAATCTGGACTTTTACTAGTTGCAAACCATTTTGACAAGAGACCTGAGATAGTAATTCCTGGAGTCACTAGGTCAGTTTCTGCCTCTCCCCACCTCCCTCGCTAGCAAAATATTTTGGATATCACTCCCACTGACCCTGACCTAGTGTGGACAAAGGGCACATTGCAGTTCTGACTCATGAGCTGAACTTTGGATTTTGGAAATTAAAATTCCAACTGCAGTCCCTCTCTCAGGCTTATATCCTAGAGAAACTTGTGCACATGTGTACCAGGAGGCACATGCAGGAACAGTCATAGCAGTTTTGTTTATAAAAGCATAAATGATAAACATCCACTGACAGGAGAAAAATAAATTATGGCACATATATCCAATAAAATACAATTCAGCAATGAAAAGGAATGGAATCGAGCTATGCATAGATGAATCTCAAATACTAACGTAAAAGACATAACTCACAATCACATACATACAATATGATTCCATTATATAAACTTTAAAAAGAAGTAAAAGCAAACAATTTATTATTTGGGAATGTAATGTGAAAACTTATCAAAATGCAAGGGAATAATGAAGCCTAAATGTAGGATGGTGGTTACTTCTGAGGGGAGGCTGGGAATGATGATAAGAGAAAAGAGGATACAAGTAGATTTATGCTCTTATTTTTAAAATATTGACTAAGCTGCCATTACATGTCTGATATTCTTCTAGGTCCTAGAGATATAGCAATGAACAAAACAGACAAAAATCCATGCCTTCACACAGCTTCCATTCTAATAGCATTGATGCAATAATGATGTTAATGTTGTTGATTCTTTAATCAGGGTTCATAAACATTAATTTTATAGTTATGCCATATAACATATATCACATGTATTGTTTGATATGACTAAAACAGCACATAATGAGAAAAATTAAAAGAAAAACTTCAGAAGTTTTGAATATGTTTCTAAATAGCATCCTAATTGCAAACAGAGCAGAGGTTTGCTTTGAGAACAAGTGCAGAATTTGCACATGACATTGTGTTTCTTCTTACCTCCCATGGGTTACATGTTCACTTATTATCCTGAGGCATGGCATTTGGTTTTACGAGTCTGAAGCAAAAGCAATGCCCCATAGAATGGAAGGTTTCTGAACCAGAATACCACTTACAATTCTTCAACAGTTTCACAAGTAATTAAATAAAAGTGGATTACTAGAAGCTGTTGGCCTGCCAATGCCGGCTCATAGGGAACTTGGGCTTAGGAAACCTTGGCACCCAGCTGAGATCACTAGGTATCTCTCTCTCTCTCTCTCTCTTTCTCTCTCTCTCTCTCTCTCTCTCTCTCTCTCCCCCCCCCGCTTCTGACTCCTTTCCTTTTTCTCTCCCCTCCTCTGCTGCTCCCCCTGCCCCCCAATTTTCTTTTCAAAGGAGGAATTGGGAATACTTTGAATGATCTGATTAATATAAATAAGTCCCACTAATGACTGTGGAAGCAGGGTGAAATGTAAAAGTAACAGACCAGTTTTATTTGTTAGAGTTGAATGGCAATTCAACAAGGCTTTGGAACCAGCCAGACCTGGGTTAGAATTTTGCCTCCACCACTGAACTTTGGATGAAGTAATTAAAGCTCTCTGGGCTCCATTTGCCTCATTTAGAGAGTTGGGAATACTTTCAACTCTAGAAGGCTTTTGTGAGAATTACAATTACATTAAATAACATATGTAATAGCCCTTGCCTCTGTGCCTGCCACATGGTAGGAGCATTGTAAGTCTTGGTTGCCTTAATCTTTTGTCTTACCATAAAAAATGAAATATCTAATATTCTAAGAATAAAAAAGAGAATTTTTCTTGCCTACGCAGAGCTTTTAGAGAAAGGCAAATACATGAATACATGTGAGGGGGGTTGTAGGTCATAGTGGGTGGGGAGAGAGGGAGGGAGAAAGGGAGAGGGGAAGAGACAGAGAGGGAGCAAGCCTAGATGTGTAAACCATGAGGATTCAATAAAGTTGTGAAGGTAAAGCAGCCCCACACCACTGCTGACACAGTGCTTAATAAATGGTC